CTGCCCACGCCTGCCAATCACACAGTACCCACTTCAGGCACGTGTCCCTGTCCCCGCGGGTGACCCACACCACGGTTATCCCTCCTGAGAGCAAGAGGGACGCTGCCACTGCTTGCAGAAACACCGTCACCTTGGTTTCAAGAGCACCACGTCAGCCTCACCTTTAAAACGCTGCCCTAACATTTGCAAGTATCCCTGGCAGTTGGGAGGTTCCACCTCTGCTTAGCTTGGGTTAAGTCACCCTGCAAAGGGGTCAAGAGCGAGCCAGGACGAGGTGCAAACTCCCTGCTTGTGCCCAGCAGCTTCTTCCATCACTCGCAGATTTGAGCTCTTGCACTGAAAGCCCCATCCGTTTCCAAAAGCAGCCCCGAGTGCGGGGTGAGCAAGGGGAGGCAGGTCTCACTGCACAACTGCCTAAACGAGTCCTGGAAAAAACGGCCTTGGCTACCTGGCATCTGCAAAAGATGGAGAAAGCAGTCAGGAGAAATAAGAAAAGGAAGAAAGGAAGGCAGCGAGTGGGGGAATGGAACGGGGATGAAAATTAAAAGCCTGTCGTCCTCCTTAGCTACAAAGGATATCAAAGAGGAATCCACGATGGTGGATTACTGCTGGGAATGTCTTCCAGGCATCCTCCGACCTGTCTCTAACCCCACGTGGCTGCCTCTGCTCCCCCCCATTCCTGGCTCGAAGGCTTCACTCAGCCAGCGAAAGGGTTAAGTTTAATTTATACTGATTTCTATTTAATATCATTCTCTCCCCGTAGGAGCCGGCAGCTGTGAGCTGATTGTACTCTCTCATTATGCAGTCTGTATCACTAATGGCCTGTGACAAAGGCATGCCATCTTCCAGGCCTTACCCCCGAGAGCCAATTAAACACACATACTCCCTTCCTGTTTGCAGCGCATTACAATGAAATTAAACTGAATTTCAAAATCATTTTCTCCTAAAGACATCTCTTTGCAATAATTAATGCATGCTATTCCTTTGCATCTGAAATATTCATCAGGAGTGTTGACTAAAAAATTTTTAGAGTTGATTGCCCTGCATGCAGCTCTGTCTGCTGATGCTCCGGTCCCAATCCGTGGCATCAGCGCAGGAGCAGGACCGCTGGCACCCCTGGCAGGGCAGTCCCGCACCCGATTCTGAAAAAACATAATAATAAATCGTGTCTTCTTTGTAAATTGTCAATAAGGTGATTACAAAAGGCAGCATCAGAAATCCAGCCCAGTGCTCCCGACTTGACGGCACTGCTGCCGCATAATAGAGAGGGAAATGGAAAAGTCAGAGCTGCTTATGCGTCCAGGTTAGGCACAAATGAGAAATCCCACCCTGCTGCAGCCACAAGATTAAGGGGCGGTTGGGCTCGGAACGGGCACCCGGCTCTGCGCGGGCGCTTATCCCGCTATCCGCGCGCCCGCTGCCGGCGGCAGGGCCCACAGGAAGGGGGACACCCCGAGATACCGACCCCTGCTCCAACGGCCGGGCCCGAAGCTGCCTCGCGGCACTGCTGCCCTCACGGGGGAACAGGGGCTGTTTTATTATTTAATCTGCACTGCAGAAGCTCCTGGGGGACGGGGAGCTCCGAGCGGGGCGGCCAGCTCTGCCCCTGCACCCTCATTTGAAGCACATCATGGACTGTCACCAAGATGCCACATGGGATAAGTCTTCAGTGTAGGATCCCCCTGGATTTGCTACCCCGCATTATTGCCAAGATTGGCCTTAATGGCTCTGCTGTGAGGATTCAGCATCCCAACCACAGCGGTTTCGGGTGAGGACAGTTTTGGTTGTGTTCATCGTATCAGGGCTGGATTAAAACAGGGCTTGTTTTCTCCTGTGTGCAAACATTTGACATAAATCTACTGAGACACAGGACTCAGCTGCAATAGGTGTTCATGCTACTGCATCTTCTGGTGGAAGCTGGGGCAAGAGAACCAAATGCAGGAGGTTTTCTCATCCCTAGAACGCTTGATATTTCAACATTTCTTGCCTTTAATCAAAAAAAGCAAATCTTGAAAATTTTCACTCTATGAGAACCCAGAAAAAAAGAAAAGTTTTCTCTGGATTTTAACATGTATCGTTTAAAAACAAAATGAGCTTTAATTTTAAAAGAAAAAGCTTTACGTGGAAGAGTCCGTTTTCACTTGAAAAAACATCGACAAGCGACATTCTGGCAATTTCAAAGCCTTCTTCCCAAACCTCTCCTGAACTGAAGACACCAGTTGTGGTTCTTCCCCAGAAAGTTCACCTTTCAATGAACTAATGTTTTCTGCCTGCAACATAAAAGCTCCTTGAGATACTCCCAAGTGATCCCAGTGGCCCAGACTTCAGAGCCCACCACCGTGCCTATGATGTTGCCCTTACACGGGGCTTTCCCCACAAAAATCCTGTGTTTGGGATGCTCAGCCCGCTGGCCACGATGACGATGGGGACGGAACCATCACGCGAACAGGATGCTGCCGATGAGGCAGGGCAAGCAGCTCAGATGCAGAGCTAGGGAGCTTAGCAGAGGTTTCCTACTGACGTGGCCCCCGTCCAAGTGATGCCGAGTGACAACTGCTTTCCAGGAGCTGAGGCTGCAGAGTTCGAGCCCCAGAAGGCACGTTGTGTTTAGGAGGAGTCAGCTCCAAGTGCACCCTGCTCCTTGGAGGAGACAAGCAAAGAGCCTCCCTGAAGCAGCACCCGGTTTCGTGAAAGCATCCTGGCCTGCACGGTCAGCCACAGCACTGAGCTCCAACCCGAGCCAGCACCCCATAACCATGGGGACAGAACGAGCAGACACCCCCATGCTGACCCCTCTCCTTCCCCGCTCCCAGGCCACCCTCTAGCCAACAATGCAGGGCAGCCCTTACGGTACCTGTTTTGAACCAGCCGTCGGGTGTGAAAGCGTCTTTCGTCTCCTTGGGTCTGTTCCAGTATTCGCGGAACACCGAGGGCCCCTTAACAAGGAGCTCCCCTTCTTGGCCTTCCAGGCCCGGTGTCACCTGGAAGAGACAGAGAGTCACTGCGGTGACAGAGGTGTCACCCGCGAAGGGCAGCACGCGGCCCCGCTCATCCCCACGCGCCAGCGGCGCGGCTGGGATCAGCAAGGCACAAGCCGCACGTCCCGTCGCCTTCCAGAAGCTCCCGCTGCCTGCCCACCTATGGGACGTCTTTCCTTAGGTGGACAAGAGCCCACGTGTGTGTCTGCAATGCTCAGAAGCGCTGAAAATCCGTGTCTGGGTTATCTGCGCACGGGCGCTGCCATCCCGGAACGCAGCCGCGATCCAGAGCGTTTCACACCTCCCGGCTCCTTGTAACGGAGGGGAAAGATCTCGCAGGCAGACAGCTGGTTGGGGAATACTCCTGGAAGAGGCACCGGCCCCTCTGCCTGCTCCCTGGCCAGCGGTGACGCAGGCACCACTGCAGGCAGGCGCAGCAAGGGCTGCTGCAGGCACCACTGCTGCCTCCCGAGCAGCCTCTGCCGCTCTCCAGCCTGTGCCCAGGAAATCCTTTGGGAAACCCTTTCCCAGAGCGGCCCCAGAGATTCCCCATCCTCGCTCCCAGGGATGCGGCGCCGCGGGGAAGGCGTCAGCAGGCGCCGAGCGTTGCGACGTGCAGCCCATCCGCTCAGGGCATCCGTCGGCGCAGGGAGCCCCTCTGCCTTCTCCCAAGGCTGGGGGGCAATTCCCACCGCGGAGGCTCTTAGGGGATCAAGGAAAGCTCACTGCAGAGGCTGGGGATCCTGAAAGACCTGCACATCTCGAGCAATGACATGGCCTGTCCCGGAGTGCCGCTGCATTCCAGGCCTGTGGATCTTGCAGGGAGAGCAGCAAGCTTAGAGGGCTGGCAGATGGCTCAGCCTTGGAAACAGCAACCGTGCGGGGACACTGGCCACCAGCTGCACCACTTGGCACTGCCAGGGAGCTGCAACTCGGCACAGCCCAGGCAACCCCAGAGCAGAGACACCCTGCACCACCGGCTGCCCCAGGCTGAGCTGCTGTTGCACAATAAAACAACAAGAAAGAGAAGCCAAACCCCAGGCTTCTTAGCGAACTGCTTAACCAGCTGATATACTTTTGATCTCCCTCGTTCTCACGCAAACACAGAAGTACCAGGGTTTCTCAGGACCAAAAGTTCCTGCTGTTCCACGGCCGCTGGGGGCCTGGATCCCATTCTGCTGTGCCCAGCACAAGCACCACTTGCTCTGCAAGCTGCAGCCTGTTTGCAATTTCCACAGTGCTGGAGTGGGTCCTCCTGCTCTTCCCAGCTGGGCTGTGCAGGTCTGGGAGGAAGCCTGTTGCGAGGTGAGAGAAGGCAGATGAAAGCAGCACATTGCTGTGACTGTGACATACTGCTGTCTGCCGTGTTGATAGAAAGAAAACTTCTCTTTCCCAAACTGTCAATCTAACACATTTTTTTTTTCCTGAGGAGGTGGCAGGAAACACCATCTGATTTGCTCTCGGGCCTCGCTAGAAGGCAATGGATATAGTGACAACTCAGTGTTCTGCAAACCTGCACGGGCAAGTTTTCGACAGCAGCCAAATGAATATCCTGCTGTTACTGAAGCTCAAGAATCGCAGGAAGGTTACAGACCTGCCTGACATGGTGTGGGGATCTCACTGCTCCCGCACATGCATCACACTGTAATTACAAGGATGCGAGCGGGGTAAGAGATGAGTTACTAGAGTCACAACTGCAGCACTTGCTCGTGTGACCAGGTTTTTGCTTTGCAGAGATGGGAAACCCCAGTGTCGTGCTAGCAGTCCCTGCAAGGCTTGCTGGTACACTCTGCTGCACCCACACAGGAGGATCTCCAAACTGCTTCGCACTGGAGCTGCTGCAACGCAGGCAAGATCCGGCTGGGACCTTGGAAGTGAGTAATGCCAGAAATGCAGCCACAAGGGAAAACGGTAATAGCGGTCCTGGAACACCAGGCACAATCACAGAGAAAATCAGGCTTTGTGTCTCTTTAGAGCCTTTGATGGAAGCAAAGCTTTTCTAACATTAAATGCTTACAAAGCTGCTTTTAAAAGCACAGTTTTTGTTTTAAGTCATTTCTTCTTGATGCCCCATCTTGGAGGCTATAATGAGACAGTGCTCTCTGTATACACAGCCCCTACACCTTCACGGAGCCGCTATTCCATTAATGCCTCCGCGTATCACAAGCTGGACAGGACCTCAAGGGTCCTTGCAAGGCCTTATCACTGCCTGGATAAAAAAGTCATTAATGCTGATGACTGGAATTACAGAGTCACAGAATGGTTGAGGTGTGCCTTAATGACTTTTTTATCCAGGCAGTGGAGATAATGCTGATGACTGGAATTACAAAATCACAGAATGGTTGAGGTTGGAAGGGACCTCTAAGGATCATCTAGTCCAACCCCTGCTCCAGCAGGGACACCCAGAGCAGGGGCACAGGGTGGCATCCAGGCGGGTTGGAGATCTCCAGAGAAGGAGCCTCCACAGCCTCTCTAGGCAGCCTGTGCCAGGGCTCTGTCACCCTCAACTAGCTGAACTATGGTAAAATACAGATGATATTGGATGAGTTTTCCCCAAAGGATCTCAAAGAGAGAGCCTGAAGACCACAAAATCCCCAAGCAGGACAGCGTGGCTATTTCTTCTCTCTCGTTTTCCTACTGGCTTGGCCAAGACATCCCAAACAAGCAACTCCTGAGCAATTCAGGGACTGTGTGACCACCATTAGGTGACACAGCTCTTAAAACCTGCTCCTGGGGAGCAGCAACGGCACCACTGGCCTCCCAACAAGACCAGCCCAGACCCCATCCACTCAGCTAGAGATAACAGCCTGGCCGGACTCTCCCCACCTTGCAGGCATTCCAGCTACCCATGCGAGTGCCCAAAGTCAGTCCCTTTAGCTGCCAGGCTGCCTCCGGCTCCAGGAAAAAAAGGGGGGGAAAGGGGGAGGTGGTTGAGGACCTGCTAACAGCTGCCTCACATTCGCTACGGATCCTGCCAGACTTTGTCTTCTGCTTGATCCTGAAAGCAAGAACGGATGGGAACGGGGTTACTGCAGGTTTCTGCGGGCAGAGGCCGAGCGGCCGCGGGGAACGAGCCCGCGCGCTGTTTACCTGCCCGCTGCTGTTCCTCGTGTGAATCAAACCTTGAACAAGCTCCAAATTTCTTGTCATATCAACTCACATTTTGGCAGAGGCTCAACCCACATCTTATCTAGAGCAGAGCTCCTTGGCAGCAGGCACCTCCCTGTTGTGTAATTTAATGATGTTATGGCTGGCTTGCAAACAGTAAAACAGAAAGGCCGTGACGTTATCTTAATAGGATTTTGCTTGCTGAACTCCGAATGTCACTGGCAGTGCTCCCCGGCGCAGCGAGCAGGATGCAAACCGCCCCGGTGCCAGCAGCTTGTGTTGCTTGAAAACAGCATAAATTAAAATCCAGAGTTCGAGGCATTTGTCTGCTACAACCTCTTGCATCTGATCCCTGCTAAAATCCTGCATCTACTCCACGCGAGCACACTGGCAACACACTTCCAAAGCGGGAACTCGCGGCAGCAGCGTGGCCAGCTTGTTTGTTTCCTCCCTCCACCAAATCTCAGAGGCACCCTTGTTGACACACTCCATCTATGTTACGAGCAGCTGCTGAAAGAATCAGGTTGCTAATTGCACAGATATCCTATTCTTCCCGTGCCATATTTTTTAATGCTTGTCTCAGCTGCTTTAACCGCCTTCTCGCAACTTCACCACGGGGCTGCAGGGTGCCCTGCGAGGCCGCTGTTCGACGACTTTCTGCTGTAAAATAGATTCAGCAAGCTGAGCTGGGCTGGCTGGCACACTAGATAAGATTACATTTTCCACACACAAAAATAAAAGGTTGTAATAAACCCTTCGAAAGAATAAGCCGGGGTGATTATAAAATGCATATTTTCACTGCTTCCACTTTACCTCTTTATTAGCAGGAAGCAGTGGTGGTTGGTAAATAGCTGGGAATCCCTGTTTGGCAAGCAGCCCTGCGATTTGTTCAAAGTGGCCATTTGTTTTCTTGCGGTCTCTGATATATGCTATCCCTCCCTCCCTTGGGAACGGCAGGAGAGGAGTTTATAATGGACTTTAATGGAATTAGGAGCTTTTATGAAGGTAGACTTACAGCAGCGCGTCTTGCACAGGGAAGCAGAAGAAACGCTGGATATTCCTAAGCAGAAACATGTGGAAGACAAGCAGTGAAAGCTGAAAGGCAAGGTTTGTCAGGAGAGGTAATAACTTGCTGGTGGATCGATATTGCTGGGAGAAAGACAGACATGCTTTTAGGGAACAAAAAAAAGCCCTTTTGGTTGGAATCAAAAGCAGAACCCTAAGAATACGAATCAGGGGAGCACAAGAGACATCTATCAGAGCTCCCCCAGCAAATCTAAACCTCTCTGCTGAGTGAACACCAAAGTTCAGAGGCTGCAGGTCACACTATGTCCTCATAGGAGGATGCTGCCGAGGGACCCTCGCGCAGGCGGAGGGAAGGCGGCGCGTTCGCAGGAGAGCAGGGCTTGCTGGGCAGGGAACGGAGACTCCTGCAGCCCTGGAAGTAGAGCTGGGCAATGAGAAGGAGCCAACATATGGCACGCAGGAAGCACAGATATTTTTAATCCATCTCCAAAGAGCTGCTGCCTTATGCATTAAACCAAGAATGTTCTAAGCTGTTAACATGGATGAAGGAGCCTACGCCACATCGAGCCGTCCTGCTCTCTTACATGATTCTCCTATTACTTTTCCCTACTCACACTTCCATCCTTGGGCTGGCCTTGCACAGATTCCACGGCAGCCCGATTTGCCTGCATGATCCCTGCTGCTGGAACAGCTCCGGGCACGCACGGCCTCCTGCAGCGCTCCCATGCCGGAGGTGCTGGAAGGTCCACGTCCCGCACGCTCCCAGCGCCGCCTCTCCGACCGCCCGGACCCGGAGCTCAAACCTGGGCAGCTTCCAAAGGCCGTGTGTCTTCACCCATGCACCAAGAAAAGGAAGATCGCTACGTGTG